CTACTGAGGATATTATTAGCTGAAGTAAAAGTGCCACAATTGTAGTTGCAGAGTTAAGAGCAGTCTCTTGATGTGGTCTTGTGATGCTCTATATCAAATTTAGGGTCCTACACATACCAGATAAAAGCTCTACCAGTGATTTACAGTCCTGGCCCTAAAGTTTATTTCTTGCTTAACAATTACATATTAGTTATGTAAGAAATTTTCTTTTACCTTGAAAGACAGATTTTCAAGTCTTTTGAGTAAAATTTTATTTTGTGTGAAACAGAAAATTTTATTTTGTGTGAGGCAGTGAAATAACATAAATAAATAAACAAGTATGATGAATATGCACATAAAATATAAATAAATAAATGCAGAATATATAAAGATGTCATCTTAGGGATTTACATAAGTAGATGTCAATAAAAACAAAAATTAGTATAAGGACTCATAAATTAATAAATACAAAGCAAGTGTGGCAAAATTTTGACTTAATTGCAATTTTACTATAAATCTGGTGGTTTTCCTAAATAAAATACCACAGAAAAAAATCACATGTATATCTATAATATTAATAATGAAATCTAATACAGGGGAAGGCCTAAGCCCTTCTCCAAATGATGTGACAGACTTTGATGATCCCCCATGGAAGGTATCACCCTCCCTGGGAGTGGATGGGGGTAGGATTGGGGGGTTACTGAGGGGCATGGGAGGATGGGAGGGGAAGGGAACTGGGATTGATATGTAAAATAAGATTGTTTCTAATTTAAATAAAAATTTATATAAAAATAATAAAGTCTATTTTTAAATGCTTGGGAACCATTTTTCATTTCAAATAAAAAAAAGCAGGAAACACATTAGGCAGAGTAAGTTTGAGAAAGTAAGGAGTTATTGGATATAAAGAATTGTTAGGAAGGCACTCACATGAGTATACAGAGGTCAGGAATGTTAAAAGAACTAGTTTTGCTAAGTTTATATTTCTTTGTTTCTTCCAATAATATGTAAATTCTGTTAGCACAATCTCTCAGTAAAAACTGTATAGAATGCATACAATACAAAAAGACTTTTCAGTGATAAGTATTTTGTTCTCTGAGGAGGTACAGTGGTCCATTTGTATCTGGGGTAGGGTGATTACAGGATCTCATAGACACCAAATCCACAAATGATAAAGTCCCTTACCTAAAGTTACTTTCACAGAAAGTATAGGCACCTTCCCATATATTTTAAATCATCCCTATATTACTTATAACACCTAATATAATGTAAATGTTGTGTAACAGTCCAGTAACCACACACACACACACACAACACACAACCACCACCAACAAAAACACAATCTTTTCTCTCATAAAACAAATATTGCAACATATCCTATCAATTTTCTATAAGCAAGTTACCTCTTATCCTAATTCAGGTGCTGGCATATAGAACTTCTATGCCTGTATTCAGTTCTGCCATAATACTCCCGATTCTACAAATCATCAGTACCATAGCCTGCTACTCGTACTTTAATTTGAGTGCCTTAAAAGGTATGCTGCCTCTTAGGTGTTGACAACCTAAATAATTAATGCTTCTAAGCATGCACAGATCTGAGCTCAGCTCAGTGTCAAAATATGTGATTTAATTTCTCAAGCATAACTTCAAAAAGAAGGAAAACCCTGAAACAGATATACTAAAGCTCATTTGTTTTCAGAATTTATTGACTTCTCAAAGGTGTTCGGTATTTTTTTCATGCTCTGTGCTATCATTTATACTTCCAACAATCCATTAGCTGTATTCAGACCTCAGACACAAAAAGAGAATCTGACAGAGACTGCCTCTAAATCACTGAGGTGTAGTAAAGTCAGTAAAACAAATCAAACACATCTTCTGTTTGAGAACAACTGAATCCTGGCTTTTCTATGAACTTTGTCTTCTCTGGACTTGGATATGCCCTCTGCCCTTCTTCAGATTTTTGAACGTTACTGGATTTTCTTCAGCTATTCTCTTTCCTCAGGCATACTTATCTTCTCAGAGCCCTCATCTACCTTCTTCAACGTCTGAGAATGTCTATTATCACTCCACTGACCTCAGCATTGTGCTGATGAATTGCTCAATCCAGGGTGTATCCCAGTGTGAACTACATATTCTCTACTTTTTCAATGATTTCCATGTTGCACCCATAGAAGCTGAGTGGGAACCTCCACCTTAAGTGTTTAAGTATTGAAAGGTCTGGAAACCATGTCCATTCCTTATACCACACTATTCAATTTCATGATCACTATCTCACTCCTCTGACCACAATCTATATATTCTCATTCTCTTCTCACACTCCTTTTTATTTTTGAGATAACGTTTCACTGTAGCCCTGGATAGCCTAGGCTATGTAGACCCAGCTGGCCTCGAACTTGTAGCAATCTCCCTACATCTGCTTCCCAGCTGTTGGGATTACAACTGTGAGCCATCAGACCCAGCTTTACTGTAATCTCTTGATCTTCTACTATGACTCATTCTTACCTTCAACAGTATTTTTCTGCCTTTACAGTCTGAGTTAGGCACTTTTCCTGTCTTTAGTCTAACCCATGGGTTATCTCAAGCATTAATTCCTACACAGGGCTTGGGGTGTGAACAATCAAGAAGTCTTTCTGTGTGTTAATACTGATTTAGGGGTTTCTTGTTTTTAAGCTTTGGTGTTACTATGTTGTTCAGTAACTTCTCAAATTGATCCTCCCACCTCAGGCTCCAGAGTATCTGGGATGGATGACAGGTATGTTATTATATCAAGACCTTCCAGGAAATAGTGAGAATCGCAGTGATAATTAGGTTAGAACCCAGGAAAAAGAAATAGAGTCATGGGGTTGATTCATGCTTACTCATTCATAAAAGAGGAGAGGAGGGAATACATCAAATATCGCTGGCATTCATGAAACACCATTGTCTAACATCGCAGGGAAAACAACGAGCATAGCCTGAGAAGTGTTGTCAACCATTCTTTTATCATGTATGCACCAGCAGCTACAGATAGATTTCTTAGCACTCAGTTCTATGCAGAGATTAACGATGTAGTGATAGAAGGCTACACTATCCTCTTATGATTTCCTCTAGAAATTCATTTAACTCTTGAAACCCCATTCATACTTGGGAATTGTGAGGGTGAATTGTCAACTTGGCAGAATCTAGAATAATCCGGGAGAAAAATAAGTAGACCTGTCTGTGAGGGAGATTTAGACTAAATTCATTAAGGTAGGAAGATCTAAATGTAGGTGGTATTGTTCCACAGGCTGGGATTCTGGTCTGTATACAAAAAGGAGAATGTGAGCTAATCACCAGCATTCATTTCTGTTTCCTAACTGTGGATGTAACATGCCCAGCTTTCTGGCGCTTCTGCAGTCACACCTTCCCCACTGTGACAGACTCAAACTAAGCCAAAATAAACCCTTTCACCCTTTAGCTCCTTTTGTCAGGTATTTGTCACAGCAATGGGAAAAATAGCTAACACAAAATGTTCTTAAAGTTTCTTTCCTTTCCCTAATTCCTTGATCAACTTCCCTTCTCTAAAAATGCAAATGATTTCTTTGAAAACGGTCAGTCACTCATTGTGATCTAATCAGCTGTAATTAACTTTCATTTCCTCTGGGCTCATTTTGATTTCATCCTTTTAAGCATGTCTTCCTTGAAGCTATATCTACTTCTCAGGCCTTTACCACTCCAATTACGCAGACAGAGGTTTCCTATTTAGTTTTACCTGTCAACCTGACAGAGCTTAGGGCCACCTAAAAGAAGAGTCTCACTTGAGGGACCGCTCAGACAGACTAGCCAGTGAGGATGACTGTGGGGGATTGTGTTGACTTTTAATTGATGTAGGAGGGCCTAGCCTATTGTGGGAGGCACCAGTTTTTGGGCAGAGAGAGGTACCTGGGCTTTGCAAGAAAGCCAGCTAAGTGTGGGTCTGTGCACCAGAAAGCAGAACTCCTCAGTGGTGTCTGCTCCAAGTTCCTGTTGGCATTCTTACCCTGACCTCCTTTAACGACAGACTGTAAGCTATAAACTGAAATAAGCCATTTTCTCCCCTAGGTGGTTTTTTCTCATGGTTTCTGTCATAGCAACACAAAGGAAAACAGAACAAAGGTCTTCCCCAAAACATTGTGTCTAGACACTTTTGTTACATATTATTTATCTCATATCCTTCAGCAAGCAGTCAAATCCCTGAACGTGTACTTCAAGAAGTCTGCCATTTTCTCAAATGCATTACAAAAACCATCAGACATTACACCACTGAGGGGCTAGAAAGATGACTCAGTGGCTGTGCTTGCTACTCTTACAGAGGACCAGATTTCAGTGGCTCACTGTGATTCTAGCTCCAGGGCATCCAATGCTCTCTTCTGGCCTTTAAAGGCATTTTTACGCACATGTACATATACACAGACACAGATATACACACAAATAACAATATACATCTTTTAGAAACAGTACAATAATGGAGTTGGGTGTGTAGTTCTGTGGCAAAATACTTCATAACATGCCCAAGACCCTTTTTTTTTTTCCATCCATGGCACGGGGAGATGGGATAAAAGCTTCTCTTTATATTGACAACCAAATCTCTCTTCATTTCTTCCCCTTACACTTTACAGTCAGTCCCCAGGTCCTAGAAACTCTGTTTATATGGAATAGTTTCATAGATGGCTCCTCCCATTTCTCTCAAATGAGGACCCTCAGAACTCAAATATCTTGGCCTGAACAAATACCTACTAACTGGTGCATTCATCTAGAAAAAATTTTCCTTTGCGCAGATTGAGATTTCAGGATACATCTTTTAAGAAATATCTTTTCAGGATATATTTGGTCTCTACTCCAACTTTTGGAAACCTTCATAAATATCAACAGGCCATCAAGCCTTTGTCCTGAGTAAGTGGGAAGTTGGCTTCTAAGTTGTATGACACCAGTGTTAGAAACTTTACTTCACGATCTGTACTGGTAACAGAACTTTTCATTTTCTTAGACACAAAGATTAAGTAATTGTGGAACTAGCTGGTACTTACCCATAGATTCTGAAGTTTGACTGCCAACCACACGGAGCAACATAGGCTGACTGCTATCTGACCTCTGCAGAGAGGTAGAAGGAGAGGACACTGTGGTGCCATTCACCTTGGCCTCAGCCTGGGGCTAAAGTGTGCAACAGAAAAAGTATTAGCTTATAATAATAAACTCAGTAAAAATATAAGAACACTATAGACAAAAATAGGAATATTATAAATACTGAGAACTCAGGCATTATTACCATTCCTACTTAGAAACTGCCTAGAAATTGGGGAATGTGGGATATTTTATTGCTGATATGATCCATGGATATGAATTTTCATTTGAACTATGTTCTTATACAATGGATAAAAATATAGATATGGTAAAATAAAATATAAATCACCAAATTAAAAGGCTAAACGACTGAGAAGGCAAAGGGAGAACCGAGACAATATAAACCCCAATAGTTAATGGAGAGTCTATATTTTGGAGAAGTATTAGTAACACAATCAAAAGAACATTATTTTGAAATTTTAAATGCTCAGAAAACCTGAGGCATATCTTCCTTGGGTCTTTTTTAATGATATATTCTTCTAGCTTCCCAATGGAGGTATAAATCTTTAAATTTTGTGTGTGTTAGGGATTAGAAGAAAAAAACCAAACATATACCACAAAATATAAGTCATATCGAATAAGAAAACTTCACTTCAAAAAGTCAAAATGTCATTTATGGAGAATGAATGGAAATCTAGCATTTCCCTATAAGATGCACTTCCAATTGGTAAAAACAAATGAAGAGAAGACAAAGCCAAAATCGAAAACATGTTTTGAGATAAGATAATATGAAACATATATTGAAAAGTACTTAAAGTTTAAGTACAAGCATCTGAGCTCTGTCCTTTGTTTTTCATTATTTATTTATTTATTTAGAAGAAAAAAAGTGAAAATTTGTAAGTAGCCAATAGTAAAAATGTAGGGGCCTTACTTGCTCCAGGAGCTGCCTCAGTCTATGTAACTGAGACTCCAGCTGCTTGTTGTGGTCTTCCAGGATTTGCATCCTGGCTTCCAGGCGTCCTTTGTGTTGACGCAGTAGCTTGGCCTCAGCAATAAGCTCAGCATCCCTGGGACTCTGGGGAGATGTGGGCATCATCTCAGGAGGAGACGGCAGTGGGGACAGGCCTTTATGCTCATGCTGCTGCTTCAGACGATCATATTCTGCTTGCAAATTCCTACATGGATTAGAGGTTAAGAAAGAAAGGAAAGGAAGAAAAATGAATAACATCACCAAATTTCATATAACTGGCATATACATGAATTGACCACCACCAAACAAGAACAAGCAAAAGGGAGGCACTAATGAATGGTTTATATGATGATGATCTTACCGATGCTAAAGGAGCAAAATAAAATTGGAAGCTTGCGACTGGTGTGTGAGGAGAGATGTTTTTCAGTTTTTATGCCATACCAATAGTCTCACGGGTGCTATGTTTAGATAAGTAAGCAGCAGAAGATTTAATCATTTTCTAAGTACTGCTTTATAATGTGAGATTAAAATTTTATGCCTCAATTCAGATTTCAATTTTCTTAAAAAAAAATCAAAGTGTCAACAGAAATGTACAATAAACAGACACACACACACACACAAACACAAAGAATAGATCACGCATTCATCACCCTACTTTAATAAATTTAGCACCTACTATAATTTCTGCAAAACCATTTTGGTTTTAGGAGATTTTTGTTTTATTTTTGCATACATGCACGCATGCATGTTATGCTGGTATAGAACCCAGGGTCTTGCACATTCCAATTTTTTAAGCAATAAAAGCTAGCAGCCAAACCTGAAACTACCCCAATGTACCTTATCAATCCCATATCATTCTCTCCTCAGCATCACTGTTAAGGAGATAATGGCATATTGAATCCTATATCCATCAATACCATGCATGTAGCCATGTGTTACCCTGAAATTAAGATGATATCATAGTCTGTTCTTTACTTAGTAAAACAGTAGTCACTTCATGGATTCAATCTAGCATAAGTGCTTTGCATGTTCTTAAATCTTTCATTTAAGAACTTTATGCTGAAGAATATACATACCATTAAGAGTTGCTGTTTGCCTTCAACATCATTTGCTGCAGCTGTATCCACGTTGGTACATTATAATTTATTTTATCACTATAAGGTTTTATCTTGTTGCTTGAATAAGTCCGAGTATTCAGTTTCCCACTATTACAAACCATGATGGAATGAACTTCCTTATAGCAGTCTTTTTGGACATTAGTTTAAATGATTCTATAAAATACATCTTGATGTGGGATTTGGGGGTGGGGAGTCCTTGTAATATCTTCATATATTGCCGAAGTGCTCTCCTATATGGTTTTATCAATTTATTTTCTCAGCAGTAGTGAATGGAGCTTTCCTTTTGTCACATTCTTATAAAAAAAACTTGGTGTTAGCAGACATTCACATTTTGGGCCATCTGATGGCTACATTTTAATCTTCACATTTCTGATCACTGATTAATTGAACTTCTGTCATAACAGGCAGTTGAAGTTTAAATGTGAAATGTCTCCCATATGCATGTTTTTGAACACTTGGTATCCAGCTGTTGGTGCTGTTTGGGAAGGTTGTAGAACTTTTAGGAGGCTTTGTAGGCAGGATCTGACTTCCTAGTGAATTGTTTTTCCATATTAAAGTTCTTGTTATAGTATAGATGCCTATTCTTTGTAAGTTACCATATAAAGGAATATCAGATCCTGCACTGACAGATTTTTTTTTATTTACAGTTTTTTTTATTAATATTTTCGTGTGTATTTTGTCTACACAATTCACTAAACATGGTGAAATCAAACTGATGCCTACTTAGAGCCTTCACCCCTACTGGCTAGTGTTCAAGGTATTAAAAGGTACTCTGCTTGCTACTGAAGTAGAAAGGTAAACACAAGTCCAACTACAACTCTTTGATCTACAATGGTGACCTGCCTGCATGACCCATTGATGTAATAGTAGCACAAAAGTCATGGGAGCATCCAACCACTATTTGATTTGATTTAAGGCTCACTCCATAAGATGGAACCCATACCTGATAACTGCTCAAAGGCCAAGAACCACAAGACTACATAGACCATGGTCCGAAGAGACATAGCAATAAAATTACTCAATGATATTTTGCTGTATCAATAGACCAGTGTCATTTTCAGCAATCATCAGAGAAGCCTCCTGTAGTACATGGGAACAAACACAGAGACTCACAATTGGACAATGTGCATCAAGTATGAGACTTTGGAATACTCAATATCTTAAATGGAATATCTCCATCAAATCTCTCCCCTAAATACTCAGTAAGCTTTGTGAAGGAGGAAGCAGGAAGATTGTAAGAGCCAGTGGGAATGAAAGACACTAAGGAAACAATGTGTTCCAGATACCATAGTATTGACACACACTGACCCCCCAGAGACTGACAGCATCCACAGGGCCTTTACTGGACTAAACTACATGGGATCCTAGCACTGAGCAGGGAAGTGAACACAACCCTCCACCACTAATGCAGGAGTTATCTCCAACTGACAACAGTTCACAAAGGAAATAATACTTGTTCCTGCACTGGGTATACAAACCACATTTAAAGGCAGGCCCAATTCTCAGAAGTAGATGGCTAACACAAAATGCACTCAATGGTATTTTTTTGAAGGTTTTTGTCTCACAGTGCTTTATTTGGGCATTTTCTAACTTCATAGATGTTTTGCTTATATATTATGTTTTCTGATTCTGTATTTTTATGGGAGTTTTGTGTGTGAGGGTGTGTTTGTGTCTGATGTGATTTCCCTTTGGCTTTTTTTTTCTGCTTATTTGTTTTGTCTTATTCTGGTGTGTGTGTGTGTGTGTGTGTGTGTGTGTGTGTGTGTGTGTGTGTGTGCATGCGTGCGTTTAGTTGCCTACCAGTTTTCTAACAAGAAGAGGGAAAAAAAAGGTGTGGAGTTGGGTGGGTGGAGAGAATCTTGTACGAGTTGGGGGAGGAGAAATTCTGATCAGAATCTATTGTATAAAAAATCAATTTTCAATAAAAACTAAAATTATATATATATAAATGTGGTTCAGAGAGATGGCTTATGAGGTAAAGTTTGCAGTCAAACATGATGATCTGAATTCAATAAATGGAATGCAAATAGTGGAGGGAACCAACTTCTACAATTTGTCTTATGACCTCCAGGTATGTGCCTTTGCTTTAAAAATAATTTTTTTATCTTTTTTTATTTGAAGCTTTACATTTTCCAAAATCTGTTTTTGTGTAGGGTGAAATATGATCTAATTTTAATTTCCCCTCATTGATAAATGTTTTGAGCGATTCCACTCACTGTTTGATTTCTGCCATTGTCTCTGCAATACATCAAGGGTCCATGGATAGACAGTTGTGCTTCCACACTCTCTACTCTCTTCCACTGATTAGTATAGCTTGAAATCTGTTGCAGTTAGATAGGTCTTCACATTTCCATTCTATTCTTCCTCAAAATTATCTAGGTTATTCTAATCTCTTTGATCTTCTGTCTGATTTTAGTATCAAAATTTCATATTTCATGAAAATCCATGATCATATTTTGGGTTTGCATTTATTGAATTTATATATAAAGCAGGGAAGAACTGTGTTCATGTAATTGAGTTTTCACACATAGGAATGGGGCAAAGCTCCTAATTATTATTGTCTTATATCTACAATATTTTATATCCATGTTATTATATATTTAAATTCTTTTCCTTGTTGGCTTTTAATGTTTTTTTGCTGTTGTTTTGATACAGGTTTTCACTATGTAGGCCTAACTGGACTGGAATTCTCTACATAGGCTAGGATGACCTCAAATCACAGTGATCCTCTTAATTCTGTCCCCAAGTGCCTGGATTAAAGGTACAGGCCACCATTAATGCTTACTTTTTATTTTTACTATTTTTAATGAGGATATTTGAGATACATTTTTCATTCTGTGTATCAAGACTATATATATATATATATATATATATATATATTAATTTATTTAATTCCATTGCTTATTTACAATGTTTGTGATTTTAAAATTGAACAAATAGTGAGTTAGAGTTACAGTTTATTATTTCCAACCATTTTACTAAACATTTTAGTATACTTTCTAATTCAGTTGCATTTTATTCAGAGAATAACTATAGGATAATAATCCAAATATAATTTAACCCTAGTTTATAACCACTTTTTAAATGGGTACTTAAAAACAGATATTATAAGCTAGGCATGGTTGGGTATACCTTCAATACCAGCAGAGGCAGGAGGATATCTGTGAGTTTCAGGCCTGGTCTACAGAGTAGGTTCTGGGACAGTCTTGGTTGTTACACAGAGAAACTCTATCTTGAAAAAAGAAATCAAACATGTATGTATGTTCATTTTCAAAAAAGAGTATCTATACAGAATGCATTAATTTTGTTTACATTGTCTGTAAGTTTACTTAATTTCTGATTCCATCGAATTAATTTCTTGGGAGCATTGTTGAAATATAAACAGTTTCTCCTTTTGAATCTATTATAACCTACTTATGTGGGGATTTATGGAGTTATATGTATAAAGACTTAAGATTGTTGTTGATTTTTCTCCCTCTATAACTATTCCACTTAGTTTTGGTTATACTCAGTTGCCATTTGAGGAATTACAGACAAGATTACAACATACAAATTTCAATGTTTTAGGATTTACTGAAAATACAATTACTATAAGGATACTATGTATTTGACTGAGTCGATTCTTGAGGACTTTCTTCTGGTTATAAAAACTAGCAGATAAGATGCAAATTTTCAGTGGGTGGCAGCTGTGGCAGTACAGGTATCTTACCTGCTGTCTGGCTGCTGGGTACTACACCAGAGCAATGGATTTCCAGCAGAGTTGGGACCAGGGCCCAGCTGCCTTTTCTAGGCCTGGCCTGGGATGATGGAAGCAGAAGCAGCACTGGATGTGCCCTGGGGTTTAGGGCCTAGAGATTGGAGAAGTTTGGCTGGTAGACCAATCACTCACCTTTTCTTCCAACTGGTATAGATAGTGCTTGTGCCTATAGGGGCTGCTGATGTTGCAGAGCAGGGTTGGCCAAGGGGGTGATTATGGGAGTTGGTGGATTTGGGGCAGTAGAGTGGGTTTTATGGGAACAGAGTTCAGGTGGTGCAGACTACCTGAAGGTCTCTCACCTGCTGGCAGACTGCTGGGGTCTGCCCCAGA